TATTCCAGTGGATTAAGTCTGGTGCTGGTGTGGATGGTACGTTTTTTGGAGAGACCATTAGTGAGACACAGGTCACAACTACAGGCAGTTTCTGTTTAGTGGAGTCTTGAGCTAACCTGGGTTGCCAGGGCACAGATAAAATCCAAATAGAGTCTGTTCTTGGTAGTAACAAGGGCTCTGCATACCGAGGTCTAGAGAGGGAATCCTTATCTGAGTTCTTCAGCTGTAAACTGTGACCCAAAGCAGTGAGCTTAATGGGGCATCTAGCCTGACACCTTTATTGAAAGGGAAATTATTTCTAAAATGTTACTAGGTGGAATTCTTCCTTACTAATGTGTGGTATTTGCTGCAGAGTATTGTGTGTGGTTTTTTCCCATTTTTATTTTGGTTGAGGCCCAATTCATCAAATCTCCTAAATAAACTTGTGTGAGAGAAGACTTGTCTGAGAACGTGGAACTTCAAGTAAACCTGTTACAGTTATGTTGCTAAAAAACAAAACGAGCCCAGAAACCAACAATCTGGTCTGCTGGTATTCAAAAACCTTTTATTGATTAATTGCAGAAGCAGAATCATTGTCACGTTTAACGGGAAATATTTTAAGTTGTGTAATACTCTGAGAAGTAACATCTTAACCAGGTGGTTGGTTACTCCTCAAGGGGGGCAGTGATAAGCCTCAGGTGTACCAGGTGGAGCTGATTTTGTTAAATCAGGAGTGATTATAGCATTAGTGGAATACTGGGTGATTCAGTTCTGCAGAAAACGGAAGGAGATAGAGACGGGCACAATTAAGAGAAGTACAAAAGGAGCCAAAGGAGTGAAGAGACTTGCAGGTGCCCCAGACTACTTAATTTAGCAGACTCAAGAATCCTTCTGGAAAAGTGCAAGGGGAAAAGCTAAGAGAGACAGGGAAAGCAACATAATATATGTTAAATAGATTGTTGAGTAGAGTTTTTAGCTTCATCTCCACAAAAGTAAAAACTAGTAAAAGTTGAGAGTGTAAATTTTGACCTAAAGTATTACTATTTGAGTTGATCTGGAAAGAAATTAAGTTTTATGGTGGAAAATGGACTGGAAAATAAGCAACATTGTGATATTACTTTATTGCCCACTGGAGGTAAGTTTTCAGTCTAGAGCAATGTATTTTTTCACTATAAACAAATATTCTAGTCAATGTAGGTTTTATCAAGCTCATAAAAATGCATTTAGTAATCATAAATGCATATAAAAATGCAGCAATGACTAGAAGACATACATACATCAATATAGCTGTTCCCTTGAAAAAGTATAGAGTCAATATTTAATGTTGACCTTTATAGTTTTTTCATGGCTCTTTTTTTGTATGAACAGTTGTTTTCCTCAGAAGACTTTTTAAGGCTTCATTAGTAAAGCCAGTGGTAGAAACTTTGAATGCATCATAAACTTGCAGAAAGTATTTCTGTATACCACAAAACTGGAAGCAAAGAATATGGAAGTAGCTTTTTCACTTGCAGTTTGAGGAGAGCAGGGACTTACAATCAGTTTACAGAGAGTACATAATTTATATCAAAAGCTAAGTTGACTGCTATAATGCTGAAATTTAAATGTTATATCTCAGCTCAGTATTCAGTTGCTCTCCTACAAATGAAATACCTTCCGAATTGTGATTATTCAGGATTAACCAAACAAAACAAACCACAACAAAACAACAGCAACATAACAACAACAACAAAACAAACAAACAAAAAAACCCCACCAAAAAACAAAACCGCAAAATTATCAGATCAGTATTTTAAACCTTCTAGTAAAGACTACATTTGAAATCTTGTGACAAACAATTTAAATTTTCTTGAAATTTGAAGCATGTCAGTTTTTATTTTAGACACATCACTGGTTTTCCTTGCTTTGATTTAGAGTATATTACAAAACCACTTAAATATCAACAGAGCATTTGTTATCCAAGGCTATACAGTCTCCCAGTATGGTACTGAGAATTTCCATAGGATCACCAATGGGAGGGATTGGGTTGCCAGAGAGTTCTTTAAGTATGCTAAAAATATTACAAAGAACAGACTTTGGGCTTCCCTGCAGAGTGGTGAAGGACCCAGTAAACTTTAGGTTAGACAGATCTTTGGAGGGTCTCTCCTCAGCAAAAGATTTTCTTGACAGGAAGGATTTACTATGTAGAAGAGGAAGTTCATGGAATTAACAACTTACTTATCCTTAGCAATTTACAGTATAAGTGAATTAGGATAAAATAGTGTAAAGAAACTGAGCTCCTATGGGTGGAGCAAGAGGGATCACATCCAAAGAACATGTTGCTTCATTTAGTACAATTTATAGAAGAGGAATTTAGTTCGTTGGCAGATAGTCTGTTCCCAAGCAAATACTTATTTTTGGGAGTTAATGCAGTGAATTTGACTGAAAAAAATCCTTGGGGGTACATTTAGTTCTTACTGTGAAGTGTGAACAATAGAACAGTAAAGCTGTTCTCAGCTGAGAATGAAACAGGTGGTGAGGCAAAGCAGTGATTATTTACACTTTTACTACTTTAAAATCTCACTTTTGCATTTGGCTTTGCATTTGTGTTCTCACCTTGGAGTTCACTCTGAACCACTGTGGTGCATTTGTGACATTTGTTGTAAATCAGACGAACCTCTGTTTGCTGTTGGAAAGTTGCCTGGCATAAATTCCTAATGCTTATAATCCTTAGTTGGCTGCTTGTGCTTTGAGAATGATATTATGAATTGGGTCATCACCAAGGAATACCTACAGCTGAGCTGAAGAATCAGGAGGGGAAGCGTAAGATCAGAAAGAGTTTTTCCTCTCTCTATAAAAAAGCATCATGGCTGTTGACTTCAAATAAAAGGGAATACTTGTGGACTAAGAGATCCATCCCAACCTGAGCGTGCTTTGTCAGAAAAGAGCCATGCTTTTTTACCCTTCTGATTTTCAACATGATCTGGTAACATACACATAATTTGTCCCCAGATGCTGATGGGCTCTATAGAGCCATTGGCATGGATTGGTTTAGAGTTCATTCTCATATTTTGAACAGGGCTTTGCATTTTGAACATGGATTGATTTAGAGTTCATTCTCATATTTTGAAGAACTGCATGATCTCTGCAAGCCTCTTTTAACCTAATTTATTATTCTGTGACTCTGTGACACAATTTAAACCAAGGGCTGCATTTGTACTGAAATGTTGGAGCCAGTGCAACTGGGAAACAGGATAAAAAGTTGTTCTAAACTGTCTCTGTATCTGCCTTGCTGATCAAGACAGGGATAAAACAGTTATTGCTTACAGCAGAGAACTCAGTCTTAAAACTGTTCTTACTGATAAACAGGAACTGTGGATCCCACATGTTTGCAGTGGATCCTAAGGAATGAAAAGTAGCTTGTCTGGGAACTGTGAAATGAAATTTGAAAACCCTGAGGAACCTTATGCTAAAGAGAAAAAAGACTGCTGAGGGTTTATTTTGTCCTGGTGGAATGGCTGTTATTGCCTTTTTTTTTTTTTAACCGTTGAATTGTTACTGCTTTAGGCATAGAGAAGCTCTTTCAGAAACAGATCAATAATATTTGCACCGAGCCTTGTTCTTTGTTTGTTTAGGGGGGTGTATTAATGCAGTGTGAATGAATGCAGTGTGACAATTAGGGATACAGAAGCAGCTCAGTGACTAGGGCAAAGGAATGAAAATATTCAAACCAACATGAATTAGTTTTTGGGGACCAATAGTGAAAAGCTCTGACCTTCAATCCAAAGAAAAATAACTGATTTTTTTTTTTTTTGAGGGGAGGGAACAGCATCTTTTAGAGTTGTATTGTGATGACACCAAATCATCTATTGGTAGTTTAGGGTGAAGAGTCAGGAGGGGAAGCATAGAATCAAACCCTTTTTTTTTCAGATACTGCATTAAAAAACCAACCCATGGCGGTTTGCTTCAAAAAAGAGGGAATACATTGTCAATGCATCTATGCAAACTGGATTTCTTCAGTCTTAACTGTTCTTTTGTATGTGGTCAAGATAATGCATCCCACAGGTAGGGAATCAGTGAGTTCTGTTGGAATACCAGGGGTAGGTGCATGGAGTATTTATATGTAGGCAGAGGTGACCATGGAAGGCCCTGCATTCTGGCCCTCATCCACTTCACAAAGGGTCTTACTCAGTCTCTTCTGACTTTGCAGAAGGACAAGTAATTAATTTGTCTGTGCACTAAATAATGCCTTGTAATTACATCACATCAATTAAGTAAGAATAATAAAAGCCTTTGGCAATAGGTCATGGTTGAACTAGTAGTAGTATCCTAAAGCCTGTTGATGTTCAGTTGCAGTGAATGAAGCAAGTGCTGTTTTCTTAATCTATTTAAACTTGTGGAACTGTGGAGCATCATGGAAGAGGTTTTTACTCTAAAGGAAGCTGGATCTCCATGGTGTATAGTAAAATAAACCAGAAGACAGACTTGTTCTTTCACAGATTTCAAGTTTCCATCTGCATTTACAGTGTCAGCTGCACTGATGTGACTATTTCAGTAGAAAACCATACCTCTAATTAGGGGAATGATCTGTGGATAGCTCAGGGCATAAATTACTCTGTGTTTCGTTACAACAAATAAAGGTAAATGTTGTTTGAGCTTTAAGGTCTTAGAAATAAGTTTAAAAAAAAGTTAAAAAGCTGGACCTGATTTGAAGGGCTCTGAAAAATTTTAACAAGTGAGATCACAAGGAACCTTAGCTGAAGCCTTAGGTTCTTACTTTGAAATTTTCTCATGTAATCTAAACAACACCCTGCAGCTTTTACCTGGTGAACCTCAACTGGGATGAGATAATGAGATTTCATGTCATTGTCACCCCTTTCCACTGCTCTTTTTTCACCCCAGTGTTTCCTTGTTCAAGTATGTCCTTTGAAAAATTATTTTCCAAAAACAAAGGCTTTCTAGCAGAGATGGTTTTTGGCAAGTTTGGGGATGCATGCTTGCTTAAAAGGCTCCTTGTTTATTGAAGTTTGTTTCTTTTGTTTAAGGTTGCTAATCTTGCTTGTTCATTGTCAACAAATGAAGAGGGAACGAAAATTGTCCAGATGGCAGCTAATCACATAGAGACCTTGTGCCCACAGGTAGGACTTTTTCAATTAATTCCCATTACATCTCACTGACCATACAGTGTATTGTCACACAATGTAGATGTTTAGCTGTGCTCCTTTAGTCTAAATTCACATTCCATTTATACAGTTCAGTGTAGCAAATGGAGACCAAATGGCAAATCCAGGGCAAATACTCAATTTGTTTTCTCTTTGTGCTTAACATAGGAATGGTCGATAGTCTGTATTGATTGGGAGTTCAAAAAAGCTGTAAAAGTTACAATTGCAGAAATATGCTGTTCTCTTTCTGAATCAAACCTGTTTGAATGAACATTGTAATGTGATAGGCAGGTTGGGAACGTTTTTACACTTAGAAAACAATACCTGTTTTGACCTTTAACTTAAAATATACAAAATCCCAATCAAGTGGTAACAGTATGTGAACAGCAAAGGATGAATTCTTCTGATTATCACCAGTTTAAAAGATCAAACCTTTGTCTTAAGGAAATAAATGAAAAAAAGGCACAGCTACAGATTTATTCTACAAAATTTATTCACTCTTGGTTTGTCATGTTCAGTATTATAGAGATATAAAACCCTCTGCAGTTAGATCTGTTTAGAGCACAGATTTTAGGGATTTCTGTGGATCTGATCTGTGTGTTTTAGTTCTTTGGAGAACACTGTGGTTTACACGGTGGCCTAAGTCTTCTCACCCTTTTGTCCTAAATGTGGTGGAAATAAAAGATGAAGAGTAAATATTAATAATATGTTCAGTAGCAAGCTTGAGAAGTCCATTTTATCCTGTTGAATAACTGCAAGTCTTGGAGAAAGGAGGTTCTATTGAGGAAATGAGGTGTTCTGAAAAAACCACAGACCAGTGTTTTCTCTTGAGTCATTCAGGTTCAGTGCCTGTTCTTAAACTTGAACCGTTCTGTGTTTCACATGCCAGCTTCTTGTTTCTCCAGGGGTTCAGGTGCACCTTTGCAATGGATTATTATGCATCCAATCCAGCTTTTTAATTGAAATTGAAACCTACACTTTCAGGGTATCACATCTGATACTAGAAACTCCTAAAATCTAATTTTGACTAAAATATTGATTTTTCTCCACAGCCATTTAAGTTTCTGGGCTTTTAATTTCCTGTGGTAAAATGGAAGTTTCTTGGTTTTATTTTAATTTTTTTTTTTTTAACCTAGAGGTAAACCAGGGATGAATTAGTTGATGATTATAGATCTGTCTAAAAAGAGAATGTGGTATGCACATGATAAGATTATGTAGCTACTAATGGTGTGTTCATTGTGCAGGATTTGCTGCTTTCTTAGATAAGGACCATGCCCTGTGAAAGCAATTCATATTTTACCTAAGTAAGAAATAACAGATTCGGGCTCCAGCATTTTTCAATAAATCAGATTATGCCATATCAGTTAAAAACCTTCCATAGGGAAAATAATTATCTCTTAAGTTGCCTGTGAGGCTTATCAATCAGAGTTCAGAATGGAGAAATTCATGTGTAGAACTCCCCAATGTTCTTAAATCTTTGGAGTCAAATACTTGGTATTTTATATGCTCTGAAAGATATATTTCTTGAAGAGAAACATGTGGTTGGGATTGAAATCTGAAATAGTAGAATTAAAACAGAACACCCCCCCCCCAAACACCCCAAACATACCAACCAAAAAAAATCAACACCTACGGAAAACATTTGAGAGTCTTGGGAGTTCTGCAGATTTGACCAGCAAAATCCCCATGGAACACAGGGGGAAAGGCAGATGCAGAACTGGCAAACCTTGGAGGAAAGCCTTGTTGCTTTTGTTACACTAATCAGATTCTACTGTAGATAAAATGGAGAGAGTTGATTTGGTACTTTACTGTATTTTTTTTTCTCAAGTGAAATTATTAGTGAATATTTGACTGTTCAATAAATGAAATAAGCTAGTGGATGTGTTAGAGCCAATGCAAAACACGTAATGCCTGTTCCTGGAATTTCATGAATGCTTCATGAGAAATGAGTTTAATATTAATCTTACATCAATAATCATAGAATAAAGAAATAAAGAGCTGCTAGCATAGGATTTGATGAAGGAAGAATTATTTCTCTCCGTTTAACTCATTTTTGACTGGGAGAATTTTCTTCAGTTTTGTCAGGTAAGTAAAATCTACAATGTCACTTGTAGCTGGGAGCCCATATTACTTTCCTGGTGTGCAAACAACATCTTGGCTTGAGAAAGAAAGAGAAGAAAAAGAACCCACCAAAGCAAACAGCAAGAATATTAATCTGTAGAGCTGTTTTGCTAATATCCATTTAGGCTTCAGTTCAGTGACATGTTTGAAGAAGACTCTGGTTCCTCTAACAGTTGGTCCTCTGGAATACCTGATAGATGGTAAATATAGAGATGGAAAATGATCCAAAATGTGGGAAACCAAAGATCAGCAGTCAAGCATCTGGCTTCTCTATCTAAATTATGGGGTTTTTTACATTTTTATAATCTGAGTCTGATCAGCTTCCAGATGCTCCAACATGTATGCTTGGCACATCAGGCCTTAGATATGTGAATTTTAGGCTCACTTCCTTTGAAGGTGGGATCTCGCTGGAGCTTGCTGATGGTTACCAAAGTGGTGCAGGGTGATTAGTGTCAATTCTGGAGTGTCATAAAAGGATGGAAAATGCAGGAAAAGCACATGAACGTTCATGGCTTAGCTTAGCCTTTATGTGATGATAAACAAATGTTCAGAAGTCATTCAATCCCATGCAGTATTTTTATCAGATATTTTAAAAAGATGAGGTATGGACTGATATAAGCAGAACCTTGGATATTAGTCTTTTCACCTGAGTTCTGTTTTTCTCTAAAGTATTGAAAAAGAGAGATGGAAATCACCTGATTATAATGTTATTAGGTGAGAAGCAATTCTATGGATCATGTAACTAAAGAAAAGCACGTAACACTTGGTACATTTATGGAAGATACAGCTCTAATTTTCATTGCTATCTTTCCTTGCTGCTTAGAACTTAATATGCTGCTAGTAATTTTTAATACTGCTTGCTGTGTGATAAACCACTAAATATAGAAGCTGATTTTTTGGCTGGGGGAGTTTTTAAATAAATCAGTGTGGTTTTTCAGGTAACACTGAGAGAGGTATTAGGATAAGCAAGATGCTGAGCTGATCAGTGGGAATATATTTATACATCTCATATTTCTAGGCCATTGAAATACTGATCTGACAGCTGTGTTGAACGTTTTGTATTTGGCTTGTCCAGCATAATCCATCTGTTTCTTCAGTGCCAACATGACAGTCTGGAACTGACTGCTGTATTTTGGTGTTACAGATCTGTTTATTGACACACCTGTACCTGCAGGGAGGAGAATGGCAAAAACTGCCCAGATTCCTTGCAAGAAACCAGACCCTGCAGATTTCCTTTCTTTGAATTTTAATAATTTCAGCATTGTTATAGTTGTGTCTCTCTAGCAGACAATAATAAGCATATCACATATTTTTTAGGATCATATGAAATGGTCTGTTTGTCAGTAAATTCAGAAATATGAAAGAACAAAGAGCTGAGGAGCTGACAGTGTTTTTCAGAGTATGTGTATGTTTGTCTGTAGAAGAGATCCAGGCAAAGCATCTCCATTCCAGTCCACCAGCTGCTTGTACTCTCTCCTCCTCCAGGAAAAGTACATTACATTGATTACACCTGCAATTTGGTGCCTTCAGCAGCCCAAACAGTGACAGCAACATGCCCCACACACGCCAGAGTCTGCCCTGAGTATCCACCTTTCCAAGCAGGGCTTGTGTGTTCTCTGCTTTCTTTCTCAAAAATTTGTCATAACTGTGTTATGCTTCCTGTAAGTTTTTGCTCAAGCTTTAAATGTGAATGTCCTATTATTATTTTTTTTTTGCTGTGAATTAAACATTGTATGTGTTTTTCCATTATAAAAATGAGTGGAGGAATTGAGTCTTTCCTTTGAGCTGTATTTTGATTTGCACTAAAATTGTTTAGCCCTTTCGTGTTGATACAGATAAATGGATATTATTTGCTTCTGTGTTATTTTCTAGAAAGTATGTGCCAAACAAACCTGAAATTCTTGTTCGCAAAAATGAGACTTGATAGCTATTGCATTTTTTAGGTATTGAAGTTTAATTATGTGTTTTATGATGCTGTGGATTTTTGAAGCTAGCAATTCACATTTCCTATATATTTACTTTTTCATGAGAGAAAAATCAATCATCCATTTTGTTATTTGCTCTGGTACATGAAATAGTGGGGGACACTGAAGAATTTTTTTATTAGTTTCATAAAAACTCTTCACCAATCACTTCAATAACCACAGTTTCATCATCTTGGTTGAACTGCCTGTGTGGCATCTCCTTTTATCTGTCTTAAGCCTATTTTCTGGGAAAGTATGGGGGAAAAGTAATGGAGGAGAACATGGTAAATCAGTGCGTTCTCTACCATCTGCTTTAAAAGACAAAAACCGGATGTTAATATCCAACAATATCAGACATTTTGTTATGTACCATCTCCAGCCTTTCAGTTGAGAGATGACTAAGGCACAATACATACTTTTAATTAATGCCACCGTCAGCTCAACCTGGCATTCATGGCATTAGTCTGCAGTGCCACCAAGAGCAGCGGCTGCTCCTCCTCTAGACTCCTGCTATCCCTTCCCTTGAGCCAGCCAAGAGTGTTCATGCATCCACACAACAACCACACCAGGAGCTGACTCGAATGAAAACTAACCCTCTTGCTTCCCAGGGTAATTCTCGGCTGCATCAGTTTTCTGATCCAGACATTAGGAGTTGCAGTTTGTTCTCTCTGTTCATGGAAGTTGAGGTTTGCTGTTTCAAAAAGCTGATGAAGCCTGGGGCAGTTTCAGGTGATTGGGATGCTGTGGAATCCTAAAGCTGTGGGACACCAAAATGTATTGGAAGGCATAGTGCTTTATTCTTTGGTACAAATAGACTTAGCTAGATGTTTGCTTTGGCTTGAACTTCTCCAATAAACAGTTTGAAGGAGGGGAAAAAAACCCTGCTGTGAC